TGTTGGGCCAGCCTTCTGTACCGAACGTTGCAGCATCAGATGATATCGTTGGTGACAAGGTTGCCCCTTCTACAGTCCAGGCACCAGTCCACGTTATTATTACTCCGAATAAAAGGCTGTGGAGGGGCACCAGTCCACACCCCTCCACAGCCTTTTATTCGGAGTAATAATAACGGTCCTTCTAATGAGGGTCGTTGGGGCTTTTCTTGAATTCAAAGTTCCATCCACAAAACTCACAGGCAGCCTACGTTTGTATTCCCTGAAATCAATCTATTCCATTCAGTGTCCAAGCTGATCGCATGGGCGGTGATGTGGGTGGGAATATTCGACCTATTTGCCTTATCCATGAGCGCCTCCCTACTTCCTAGTCTTCCCAAAGGGACGAGAAGAGCCATTCTAAGCACATTCACAGCATAAAACTATATCTACTTATGTCCGAAGCGTTAGCCTGGATTCTGCATTCAAACGATTCTCTGTTCGCTTTACTGCTAGAAGAACCTAATGATTACTTTCAGTGAGTTTCACGTAAACTCGGATTTCAAAATGTTGGCCTCATGGTCTTCTGCTGAGCATAATGGGGGCTCTGACCACGGGGACAGCATATCGCGTCCATCCGTGAATAGTTTGTGAGACCCTGGGGCCGCTATTTGAAGGCGTAAAGCACCTTACATAGAAGGGAGCTATATTTTAAGGAAAATGGCGGAAAAGCGATAGTAACGGCTAAAAACCTGTGAAAACCCTTTGTTTTGCGAATCATTAGACGAGCATCCTGAACGACTTTCATCGTGCCGACAACTGCACTGATAGATACGGCCGCACGAATACATTCTTATGTCCATGCAGCGACGTTTCATATCAGTTCTACCTGATAAGTGAAGCGATAATCGTCGATGTGACTGCGCGGCTACTTGTGGGCGGCCCGTTGAAGTGGGCGTTTGGGTCGGCATGTTCCACTTCGATTAGGCGTTACAGCGGTGCCTTTGGTTGGAAAAACAGCCTGCTGAGCAGCGTAATATTCTTTCGTGCTGGGCGTATTGACCCTGCATGCCTTGTCGATTTATCCTGCTACTTGTCTTTGGGTGGATTTGCTCATCTTCCACCTGGAAAAGATCCACCCCTATGACGGTTGTTCAGCATCGTTAGGAAGACTTTTTTTTATTCTTTCAGATCCCTACCTCGATTTTTTTCCTCCAGTACAGACCGAACAATTTACTAGCCTGAAAACCGTCGAGGGAGCGGGACGCTCCGCCCACCTATCAGAAAAGGTGGTTCTGGATCGAGACAGGCGCATAGGTGAGTATAAAGTGCGCGGGAAATGAGAAAAATCAGCATCCAGGAAAAATTTTCCTCGGGCTAATACGATCCCCTCCTCTCCAGCAACCAAGTACGACTCCTTTTGGTGCGTTACGTGTCAGCTGAAACTTTTGGTGGGGGTTCTGCTGCGAAAAGCCACAGCGCAGAGAGACAAAGGGTTGCCAGGGCATTGAGAGGTACAAATCGCGAGTCTGGAGATGATTTTCTCCAAAGAGAGAGGACAGCGGGGTGGATGATACGCTTCCCATGCGTGAAAAGTTGGAAATTGAGAGGTCAGACACTCCATGAAGACGTGAAGGCTCAGAGAAGAAACAGAAAGTTGGCGCCATTAACCAATTTGTGACGATGTCCGCCACTGAGGATGGACACCGAGCCCACTTGGGACCATGTCCACCATATGTGGCGAACGGGTTTCTCAAGGAATTTTTAGAAGAAATTCAACCTCTTCAAGGAATTTAAGCAAATAGTGGACCAACGAGATCATTGCTTATAAGGATTCTGGGCGCGATCCAACGAGCAACATCAGAGCCGAAATCGTCTACGAAAAATCCACTAGAAAGTTGCCTGTAGGAGTTACTCTGTTTCCTGATCACGAATATCACGTCCATTTCTGGCGCCGCGCTGTATCATGCCATTTGGCGCCATTGGGCTCCAAATTGGGGCCATAATTTTTTTTTCATCAAGACTGGTATAAACTCTGGTGGTGGGGTTGCAACGCCGTGATTACGAATATGACAAACATTCTTGGCGCTGGTGCAAACTAGTCGTCAGAATGGTGTTGGTGAAAACTTGGCACCACTACCTTCCCCACCACAATTCGGACAAAACTGTCACCTTCTCCAAATTGAGGTACTTGGATATCAGGACTGTTGGTCGTCGTGGTCATCTCGGGGAGGAATGCATACCAGCACAAGCAGGCTATTACTGGTGACCCACCCATTTACTTCATCCTACACATTCTCAACGCCCCATACAAGGTGTGGTATTCGCGCTCGGGTACCGAACTATTCCCAGGGACAATTTTTCAGCAAATTTGGTGATTTGGAGTATTTCTGCGTGGGCGTAAGGTTTCGGGCCGAGCGGATGTGATATTCGTGTTCAGGGGCTTGAACCACTTCAGCAAGAACTTTTCAGCCAACTCTGCTCATGGAGGAGGGATTCAGTTGAAAACTGCCTGATTTCGGATGAATGGGGCAGTAAAGGGTAAAGTGCCAAAATGAATTGTGCATGATGTGTGATTCAGGATCCCGAACAATGCAGGTTTATACCGATTTCAGTGAACAATGTGAAGGGCCAAAAGTTAATGTCGTTTTATAATATGAGTGACAAATAACCTCAACATGCATGTCTAACAATTTTTGTGGGAATACTATAGCACTAAATCCGCGAATAACCCCTGCATTCGAAGGCGCAGCGAAAAATGAAATTTTGTTAGCAGTAAGTAGAATAGTGCCAAAATTTCTCGTCAGGGCTCACGATGGACCGTTCCTTCACTGGTGGCGGACAGTTCCAGAGAGCTCGCAAATGCGTTGATCCGAACGAGCCATTTCCGAAAAACGCGCCTGGTTACGAAAGGGTTCAAGGGATTGAGTTCTAGTTGTTCGTAGGCCCTTTTGGTGCTGCTTACGGTAGGTATTTCAAATCGCAGGGTGGCTCTCACTCATCCATGACATCCGTTCCTCCTTAGTAGGTTAACTAAAATCAGGCTCATGTGGGATGATAGAAACAAATGCATATAGGCAAGCCTGTATACAGGGGGGGGGGTAAAAAAAAGACACTTCGACCAAGTCACATATCAGCAAAGTTTTCGCAGCCCAGACAGAAGTGGATACGAGTACCAGGGCGGAAGATACCCAAGATGTTCCTCGATAAGCAGGAGCTGGCTCTCGCCCATCACCTTCATGTACACCAAAATATGAAGTCATCTCCAGTCGCAACCTGACTGGAGAAGACTGGAGAAGACCTTCGGAATTTTTGTCAACTCTAAACAGCTGCGAAACTTCTCGTATGGAGTCACCGATGGATAGCTACCTGGAGACCAGTACTCTCTATCTGGAAAACCCCCACTATTGAGCAGCTCCGACAACGTCGCTACGGTCTAAGACATCATCTTCACCACAGTCGCCAAGGCGCCAGTTGATGGTGGGGCCGGATGTACCTGGAATGGAGAGGCCGATATTTTCTTTGTGGCCTTCGTGGACTGAAGGTGAGCGCTACTTTGTACTGCTACAGGTTTGGGTGCCACCACATTGAAAATCCAGGGTTCGGATAAAAACCCTCGCCTACTTAAGAAGGAAGGCGCGTAGTAGCTGAAGAAGATGAAATGTACAGATGCTGCCCTACACTAAAATCCCTCATTACCTGTTCGGCGGACTTCAGTGGGACAATGGCGTACACCGAAACGAGTAATCGTGGGAGGAAAGGGGAAAAAGGCGATGTTCAAGTCGGCCTTTATCCGCCATCATCGGCGCTAAACCATGTAAAAATGTTTACAAAACTTGATTAGGAGGAAAGGAAATAGACCCCTATGACGGCGGGTCCATTCATAAAGTGCAATCGCGTTATAGCTTGTCATCTCGGCTATTTTCATTCCAGACACACAATTAAATGTGCGAGTGTCTTCGGTCAAGAAATCCAGATCCGTCTCTTCGGTGCTCTTGAACAAATGTTCCGAGAACTTGGAGTTTCTCGAAAGCATGCAGGTGAAAGCAGGATATCTAGTTGTAATTGGAAAAGTATGTGATAGGTGAAAATAAAGAAAAATAAAAGGAACTTGTAGGGGTATTGTACGGACACCGCAATTTCGCTCAAGGGTGCTATGGAGCGGTCCTCTATTTTGCCTCCAAGAGCACGAGGAACGATCCATCTTGGACAGAGCCGTGTTGTCTATAAAAGGGTTCTCTGGTTCCGCACAAGATCACATGATCAACGGAGCATCTTCTTGGAAAGAAGAATAGTTTCACTTGATCGCAGAATAAAACTGAGATGACTCACATTTCCGGAAAAAATAAAAAAATGCAGAACCGTGTAGCTCCACTCTCAAATTAATTCAGCAAATACACTAGTCCGTGGTTGACTTTACGCCTCTTCTAATGATGAAGTGAATTCAACAAGCAAGCTACATTATTGATCTAAACGTACTAGACGAGCAGGAAGATATGGCAGTTCCATGGTCCCCACCACGACCAGCTTCAGAAATAAATATTTTCGAACTCATGGAAACACAGCTGGCGAGACAGCTAGCCGCACCTCAACTAATCATTTAGTAGTAACAGAATTTCGGGAGAAAAGTAAAACCCAGATTAGGCGCCGAAAAGAAAAAAAAACATGAGCAGGAAAAAAAGCAAAAAGACAAGGTAGTGAGTCCCATCCTGTCTCATTATCGATAAAAGGCAGATTCGATGAGGTAGGTCAACTGGGTCCCACCCAACTGGAGGTTTTCTGACCTAACATTTATAATCGGGCACGTGTTTTGCCGCTGGAAACGCTTGTAACTCTTTAGATACGACGCCCCGATCATTTCGTCCCATCGCTACGACTCTCCTCTCTTCCCCATCCTACCGTTTACATTTTGTAATTTTCGCCAATTCTTTCCTACAACTACCCCGCTGGGAAAGACAGGAGAATCGCGAAAAGTCCAGAAAACCAAAGCATGCTTCTGGGACTCGATATTGATCTTTAAAACTGCAGAAGCCCCCGTTTCCTCTTTCCTTCCATTCTTGCTCGCTCCTTCATTTTCATTCCCTTAAGCCCTGTTTCCTCTCCTTACGCATCTTCGTTTCAACGGCTGGCTAGGCCAATTGGCCAAAAGGGAAAATATCTGCCTGGCCCCGGTTCACTAGCGGAGGCACATCTGGTTTGACTTTTGGCCACCGTCTTAGCATTCTTCTAATGTAATACCGCTTACAAACCTGCAGTCAAGGATACTGTCCAACGCAGTTCCGGTTTCAAAAATGTGACGGAGGATAACTCCGCCGCACCCACCGCTCCAAGGTGATATAAAGCTTATGGATGTCGCCTGTGTCGCCCTTGCCCCATGACGCCGCACGAATACCGGAAAGGTAATGATAGCATTCACCGGCTGCACTGTCCTTCATCATTTCTCGTGACGATCTTGTATTCATATAGGACCGAAGCAGGAAAGTGAGATGGGAAAGGCAGTCTCACGTTTAAGCCTTGAAGCGAGTCAGATACCGAGATCCTTCACCATTGACCCGCTTCCATACCGAGGAAAGCCTTTAAACTCTGCTGGCTACCTTCGTAAGCCGTCAGCAGGGTGCGAGTCAATCGTTCGCGGCTGAGATACGCCGATGTCGTGAATGAACACTAATTAACGTTGTCAAGCACCCTTGCCGCGTCGGGAGGAGGGACGGCGCTTGAATTTGAGACGGAACAAAGTCCAGTCGAATGGGCTGTTTATTTGGGCGAACGGGGCGTATTTGGATACACAGGTCGCAGTATGGCTTGTTTCCTCAGCATTGCAAAGATTCCACATTAATACACGTAGGTTCTTAGCTTCAACTATTTTCGGAGTAGTTCCCGAACTTAAATCCCAAAACCGCGAATTACTCATAATCCCGAAACTTCAGAAACAGTTTACCATAGTTTTTTGGAAAAGTAAAATTCTATTTGAAAATTCGACTGTGGTTTTTACAATTTGTAAAATGTTTAAACTTTTCAAAGGTAAAAATCTAGATCAACTGTCAGTTGTTTTGCCATCTGCACAACTAATCCAATAAAGTGGTGTGCTCCCATAAATTCCCTCTTATACGCTTTGATTTCTCTATGATTTTGGCGAACCCTTCATGTCTTTCGTTCCAATATTTTAGGAAGATTTCAATTACCTTTCTTCTACACGATTTGTTTTCCCACCTTCCCAATCAGGTTCGCCTTATGAGGAATTTTATGGCCTCTTAAAAGACATCCTGCTTTGTCTTCCTTGAAAAACACAATTTTCGCTCCAATCAACCACCTTGTTAACTTCACCTTGCATTTATCCGTCCCGTCCTTGCGGTTACCTTTTCTCCTCTATCTTCGATTGCCCTTCGCCTTTAATCTAATCTGATTTCGGCGGCTTGCGTCGTTCTGTTTATTTCTTGATTCATATCTTTTATTACCTAAAATCCCAAATAGATGAAAGCCGTTTAATTACCAGTGAAAAATGAATTGAACATAAAGAAATTGACAATCGAAAATGCAGTCACCCCTCTAACTTCATGGATGGATCAAAATAAAAATCGGAGAAGAAGTTTAGAAGAAGCTCCGCCCCTCAACTCTAAGCCCCGCCTACTTAATAAACAATTCATATAAAAAATAGCGATTTTAACGGAATTTCTGTATTTCTTTTTCTCTCTTCTTTTTCTTTCCTATTTCCTTAAATATTTCTGTGTACTATTAATTCATAAATCTATGAGCACATAAACGTCCAAAAAACGTATACAAACGTCAATTTTCATTTCCTAGCACAAACCGCTCTTATCTATGGACCGCTCTTATCTATGGGATTTTAGGGTAATTATTTTCCGCATTTTCTTAGATGTAATATAGTCTGCCCTGCTTAAAACGTATAGGTTGAAGTTCATTAGTTTAGGATCCGATCGATTGTTACTGCCGTCTGCGGAATTGGAGAAATCAGATCTAACAATTCCGCATTTCGTAAACCCCAAAAAAAACAACATTTCTCCAAACTCCGCGCGTTTTTTGAATTAGTAGACGTCATTTCCATTCTTCCTGCAAGTTCGCTGAAGTGAATACCCTTTTCAGTCTCTCTAATCATCTCTCTACACTTAGAACTTCCTGAAAACCCTTCAATTGTGCGTCAAGTTATGCAGTTTTCTTCATCCATTTCTCAGACCTAAAACTCAAATTGGCTTTGCATGTAATGTTGCGTGAATAAATGTGTTGAAGCCAACAAATGACTTGTCTGCTGCTACCGCCCATTGCATCACTATTCCATACATATCTGTTCCAAGTTTTCGCTCTCCGCTAAACACAAAACTGACTCCAGGAGAATCTCCCTTAGTGAATACTCATGACCAGCTGAACGATGGGGAATGGCATGACCCTTGCTGATCGGAAAATACAAATTTGCTAAAAACTTTTCAGTTGCATTCCATTGTTTCTGTTACTTTGAATGTAGGAATGCAGGCCTTTTGATCAAAAGTCATTTCCAAAGTTTTGCTTACTTACTCCCTATCCCTATGACCAGAGTATAGCGTAGGCCATTTGAACAGGCACCGACTGGTACTCGTGTAATCATTCTAGTCTATGACAAAACTGTCATCCTTGTTCGGTGCTGGACAATAACACAAAAACAATTTTGTCAGATGAAAATCTCTTATCAAGAAAGTTAGATCTCACTTACAGCTTAAGTTCAAGATCGCACACCATATAACCCGATCTCAAGGGATTCGAGTATAAGAAGTGGCACGCGGCTGCAGGCTTTAGGTTAAGAATAGCTTCTTACGTCCCTGTGAAATCGCATCCCCACCCCCTTATCCTATAAAGGTCCCCAATACGAGTCTCAATGTTCTCTTGTGTGACTTCTAGGCTGTTTTAGTGAAATCTGCTTTCGCATAAATCATTTAAGCTGACCGTGCTCCAAAAGAGATCAGTAATTAGTCAGAAGAATTAGCAGTGGTCAGGTGCGTGACAACCATAAGAGTTGATTAACTCCAAGCACTTTTTCCTTCGTACCCCATGAAAGACAGTTTATGGGCTGGTGTTTGGTTCATTGGAGCTATCCCTCCTCCTCCCCCGAACAAGTGCTTCGAGCATATTGGAGTTTATTTTTTCCATCTTTGAAGTTTTCTCAGGATTGCCCTTCTGGCAATATTTCTTCAGCAAGCTCTGCAATCCAAAGCATTTTATCTCAGCATTTGAAGCGCTGCAGTCTCTAGTCTAGGTTCACATATAAGCTAAGCGTCTCCGAAAGCAAGAAATCTCCACTGAGTTTTGAAGCTATCAATGGTAATACGCTCCATAGTATGTTGACTTGGAAAAGCGCTGCTTGTTTTGTCTGTATGTCATGTGATATCAGCTTGTGTTACAAAAACCCTCATAGTTTACATATTTCTGTGGAGAAAAAAAAACCAAGCCTTAAAAAGGGGGGGGAGGTCGTACCGAACTCCCCCCCCAAAAAAAAAAGGGGGGGGGGGCGTACGGGCTCTACCAAAATCCCCAACCAATGATGTGCCCTGCTGTATGACGTGCACTCTGTACTACCCCTATGAGGCATCCTGTGTGAAACCTTAAAAGAAGAATAACCTTTTGGTAAGATCTTAATAATATTTTATTTGTTTTTATTTTATTTTTTTAATTATTTGAGCCACATACTGTCTAACAATTCATTCTAGATCGAAGCAAACTTCTGAATTGCGATTCTGAGCGTAGTGATTTGCGGGGAACATTCGTTACATACAAGCATTTCGATATTCCCGACCATGCCCTGAGAATGGAACGTTTGATTACCTTGAGCTAGTATAATGCGGGGATTAAACTTCGACCGTACATGTATTGAACGGCACCTCTTGCCACAACACTATCTCTCCCACATATTCAGTTTTTGTGTCAAAAGGAAATTAATAAACTTTTCACATTGAAATTAGGACCATCGAACCAACCTCACAACTCCCAAAACAGCTGAACTTTCTTCTGGGCAATCCAAAGCACGCGAAAGTGCACTCCAATTTTTTTCGTCGAACTGACACTCCAGTTTGAGCACTCAATTATTAGTGGAAATAGAAACTTCAAAAATGCTAAGAAGATTACCCCATGCTAGGCAAAGATTCTCTTTAAAAGGTATCAAACTCAATGGCAAAACTTTTTGTCTTTTGCACGGTATTTCGAGTAGAAAAAAAGGCCATTACTTACGTTCCGACCCAATACTTGAATTTCCAGCGTTTGGATTGTTTATTCTTGTTCTGCCAAAAATATTAACAAAACTGTCGATGAAGGGACGTGACTTCTTGCAATGGGTGGAGTTCCGACAGCTTCGGATTGGTTGAACTCTGATGTACAATGAATTTATAGCCAGCCCATCCATCTTTCACATTGACATTATCCTCCACCTCTTCGTTAGAACTCACTTGTTCAGAAATATGAACTGCGATGCGCGACCGGATTTGCTAATTTGCTACGGCCAAGTGGATACGCTTTGGCTTGTGCTGACGACACTCCATCATTGCAACTCGTACCTTTCTGCCTCGCTTTTAAGGTAATTAAATACTTGACTGTTGATGTTTCAATATTCTGGTGCCTTACGAGGTTGTTAGGTGGAACATTTATCAAAATGGCCCTACGTTTCACTTAACGTTTCGTCTTACAGCAGGCCATGGTTCCGTCGTTAAAGCGGATAGGTCCGCCGCCACGCTAGAGCGCTGTTAGTAGAAGTTTTCTTCGGGCCTCCGAAGACGACGATTAAGTCTATACGTTAGGCCATTTTAATAAAAGTTCCACCTAACAACAATTGCCTCGTAAGGCACAAGAATATTGAAACACTTACTAACATGCCGAGGCTGCAAGAAGGGAGAAGCTGGAGATTACTCGACTGTTAAATTTTACAATTAACTGATTAATATTCGGTGTAAAAAGAAAAGGATAAAGCATCCGGCGCTGATCAGCGCTTTTGGATTGCGCTGCGCATTGCACAAACATTATCCCTGCGCTCGGTTAAGCCAGGGCAGCCTCTGCACCAATCGCTGCAAGTGTTAGGAATGGGTAACCTTGGTGCAAGGTTGACCCTTCCTGCATCCTTCACAACAGCCTCTGTGATTGCAGGGATAATGACTGGTACCTCTAGGGAATCGTACTGAAATTCGAAATGTCGGCCAAAGCACAAAAACCTCACCGGGCCGCCGATATGTTGAAATCTCCTACTACATCGAATCTGGTTCCAATTGACCTCTACAACTGACCGCATGGCGCGGTAAATGTGGGTGGGAATATTCGAACCTAATTCGCCTCATCCATTACGCTTCTACTCTCTAGTGTTTCAAAGGAGGATGACACCGACGAGGATACCCTATCAGAAGCACATCCACAGCTATCAGGCCCATATGGGAGGATAGACATATGGGCGAACCAAGTCATTTTACGAACAGAATCTCATCGAGAATTCCACCGCGATTTCGAGCAGAAATGGAATGCATGGCTCAACCAAACAAGCAGATTGATCGAAGGAGAAAGCGTTATCATTTCTGACCTTTCAATGGGTACCTAGACAAAGTAATCTTGACGATGCCGTGACAATATTTTCAGCGGCAGTGTCATTTGGTCAATTATCCGAATGATGATTGGTGTGTACGTGAATTCGATCGAAATGACTGATATTGTACCTTTATCTAGAGAGTAACTGCAACATTCGTTGCACGCACGATCTCAGCTGCTATTGTGAACCGCATCAATGTCTGTGGCAAAGGTGAGGGTTCCAAGTCATAGATAGTCTATGAACGAAACACCTGTAGACCGTCAGCGCAGGTCTGAGTCTCCCTCATTGTTCGCATCTCATAGGAATGGCCGTCCGGACCGCCTTTCAAAGTGGTGCAGTGACCAAGAGCGCCGCTGATTAATTGGACGGAAGGCGAAATCGAATCCCCACTCCTTTTATACTCCTTATCTCAGAGCCAGAGTAGGCGTGGCATTTGAACATGGCACGGAATTGCTAGCGACAAACTGTCTTCGGTATTCTCGTTAGACAGCGAGACACGACAACAACAGTTGTAAGGCCGATAAATACTCATCAGAATAGACATAGACACACCTTCAAGTTAAGTTGAAGCATGCAGGCACGCCTACCCGATCACAGGGATTTCGAGTATACCTCAATGGACTAGCGAGCTCTGTCCAGCTAGACTGATTAGTGGAATGGTTAGCCCGAGGGAACGAAGAACTGTTTTCGTTCTAATGTTGTTGAGAGGCAGAGAAGCCAACGCTTCATTTCCTACGGCAGCAGGAGGGTTACTGCGTGAAAATGAAAGTTCACACCAAAGAGAGGCAGAGATGTGTATAACAGATGGCAGTGGGTATAGGATACGTAACCACGCTTTTGCAGCCCTTCGATATGTGGACCGTATGACTGAAACTGAAGGTGTCAAAAGTTGTGTTTTTCAGCTATATTGCATTGCAAGTTCCTTAATCGGTGGCACTCTACATGCTCTTAAGCAAACAATACAAATACAAGAAAATAAAAAAATGCTAATATAGGTTGGGTATGAAACTGAGGTGTGGTGTCAGAGATATGAGCTGTTTTGTAATGAAAAAGAGCGCCGAGATAAGGCGAACGAGCTCATTGCCTCGATGGATGGTGCTGTCAAAGTTCATTACAGATGAGTTTCGGACAGAATACTTTTCAGTATTTACTGAAGCTAATTATTGTTATGAAGACAGTAATCATTCGAAGAAAGCCTGGGCTGAATCGGCGGAATGCCAGTAAAAACTGAGCGCCTAGAGTAAACTGGTAAGCCTAGCAACGTGCTATGCCACCAGGGTTGATATCGTCCCCATGAGTCTGGTTGATGTCAGGAGGGGTGGAGTAAGACTGGCTTTTTACCAAAGGTGGTCTTTAGTGATAGACTTGGGAAAAAAAAGACCAGAGGTAGAGCTCCACAATTGCGAGTTGCCATGTGAAGGGGGCTCGCGACGGGCCGGGGGGGGGGCGTAATGCACTTTTGCTATTTCCCATCGACGTGTCGACCTATCCAGAAAGCCATTTCCCGAACTGCAGATTTTACCATGGCCCGACGAGCTTGTTCCACCTTCACAAGTGTTCACAGTTTTCACCAGAGTGAGACTTGCACTCCGGAACTACTGTAGCAGCAGAAGGCAAAGTGGGACATTTTCTGGCCTGCCGCCAGTTGCCGTTCTGCGTTTCTTCGAAAGGGAAGGGAAAAGCGGCAAGAAAATTGAAGAAGAAAGAGTAATAGACTGTCTCCACCCATGCGATAAGCGTGAACTGATCCACTTTATGGAGAAGTTGCTCTTTCAAACGTCCTTGCAGTTCTAAACAGAAACCCGGTGTCAGGCTCGCAACATTAAAACTCAAAGCATTCGGACATTTTTCAGTTTCTGTTATTATGAGATTAGCTCTTGTTCATTCCAGATGCATGCACTTGTTTGATCTTCCTAAAGTAATCTGTGATCCCCTCGGGCGACTAGTCCCTCTTTGTCCTGCCTTTGACCATTTTTGCCGAGCTGCACCGCCCTATGTTTAGTAATGAGCCCAGTAAAAGATAGGGCGTAAGAAGGGCGTGAGTTGGACCACAGAACAGCCTTTTGACCAGTTATTGCGGACTCGGGTTGGCATTATTGATGGAGAGGCCGCCTTGGTCGCTCCAATCCAGCGCTCCTTCTCCCACTAGCTACGTAGACAGATTTCGCGAGATGCGTACAGTACCTTTTGTCTTGACTTTTCTCCAGGAAGCTATACTATGACTGAACTCGCTTGAGCTCAAACATGGTTTGCAAAAGCCAGCTTATAAGCAAATCAGTCTTTCAGATCTGGCTTCTTACCTACTTATCCCCCTTACTGACTGGCCGAACCCAGAGACCTGGTTGGTCTCGGTTCTGACCCTTCCATTATAACAGACCAGTGTTTTCATCGTTCTAGACACTTGTGGCATTGTGGCACTAACTAATCGACCAGGGGGAGAATGGAAGGTTCGTTCAATCTTGGGAGGGGGGAGGGGCAACACCGCTACACAGGTGGAGGTGATGTAATGGCAACTGGCATGCCTCGCTATGTGTGCGGCTTGGGAATCAAACCCTAGATCGACTCCGCCCAGCTCAATTAGAAGTAAAAAAATAAAATACTGGAAAAGGAGAACACTATACAAGCTCATCAGTAAGGAAGGTCGACAAAACAAGGAAACGGACTATACAGGGGAAGGAGCTGAGAAAAGAATAAAATGGGAGAAGTTATAGGATAGGGGCACATGCAAAACTGATGCAACAGAGATGGGTTAAAAGAGGAAAGAGTCAGAAATATGAAAGGACACCACACGACGGGTGTAAAAAACGTTAAAAAGGAGAAAGAATTGCTTGTGCTTAATAGGTCAAACCAAGTGAAGGAATTTTAGGTATTATGAGACACTATTGAAACGAATTACAAAAGGTTAAAACAGAAACAAGCCCTCTACCCTCGGTAAATTGCTGTTGGAAGAACGGAACACTGAACCGTACAGCGGCTGGCTCCCCGCAAGTGCCACTTTGCGCCCAATGAACCATTACGATTCTGAATGGAAGTAGAGTACGTGCCGTATCCCAAAAGAGATTAATCAACGCTGAAGACCTTATCCTTTACACCACTATATAACATTCTGGAAGACCGCCGCTGTATCGATTATTCAAATCCATTTCAGTTTTTTGACTTCACGCTTCGGAATGGGACAGCGAAAAGGGCGGCGACCGGAGGATACCGTCGAAGGCAAAAAGGAAAACGGCAAGTTCAGTACGATTTCTCAATTTTTTTTTCTAGAATTTGCGAGTCGATTAGGTTCCAATATGGGGGAGAGGGGTATAGCAGAGCAAGATTTCTGTTAAAAACAGTGGAACGGTGGAACAAAAATTGCCATGATGGGTATTCTATCGCTCGATTTGATTAGTGCGGATTTGTCGTGAAGAACCAAAAAGCGTTCAGTGTATATGGCTCCATGTTGGGATTCACGGTGAGAACACAGCTCGCTCAAAAATGTTGTTGAAGCTTTCTCATCAGTAGAAACCTAATCTGCTATGCAGGCTCAAAAGTTATTTATAAATATTTCCCATGCTACCCACATGTCTTGGGGATGTGAGGATCATGGGACGGTTTCCTCATAAGATACCCCTTTGCCTTCCCTCCTCTCTTTTTTGATGGTTGTTCGGCAGAGGCTCCGAAGAAGACGCTTGCGCCAACACCAGATGATCGAAGTTGGCCGCGAAAATTGCCGAAGAAGAAAAGGCTCTGGAACGGTTATTGAAAGAGAAGGAAATGGAGGATAAGGAAAAGGCTTGCTCGTATACATTTCCCGAAAAAAAGTTCACTTAAAATGGTGAGGTGCCAAGACACTCCGGTGAAGGTTGAAACTTCAGCTACAGTATAGCCCCAGCTCACACAACCATTCTCACAGCAAGCCAGGGAGGAAGGAGAGGGGTGGCAGCGTATGGCGCCGCTTCCAAGGGGCAAATCGCTTATCGGCTGGTGGCTTGGGCCGATCAAGCCTTCCATCGCCCCGAGGGGGGGCTAATTGTTACTTCCTGCCACCTACCATTAATGTTAGTGCCTGACCCCCCCAGATCACTTATCAGTTTGAGCGCTCAGTCGCTGTTTTGAAGGAAGTTATGAATTTCCGGTCAACACACACACACACACACACACACACACACACACACACACACACACACACACACACACACACACACACACACACACACACACACACACACACACACACACACACACACCCCAACAGACAAACATAGCGGATTATATATAGTAAAAATCTCAACACTTCTCGAATGTTTGGAAGTAAAAAGGTGATATCACATTCAAAACACTATCCCGAATCGATACCACGATATGAGTTGGTTCGCGACTCTGCTAGCGGTAGATCCTCCCTTTCTTCAACCTATCGCTTTCAGTAAAGTATCGGTGCGCTCATGTCAGAGCTCCCTCTACGCTTTACATCGCACACCAACTTCTCCCTCTCCAGTGCTTCAACCGTTCCCTAGCCTGGTTCATCTACGCGCTCATTCCAGCTGTCCCGCGAGCAGCTTGTGCAATATTCGGAACACGTCAATCACGTTCGCAATATTGCCTCAGATTGATAGAACCAACACAGATTGGTTCGCAACTCTGCTAGCAGTTGGATCATCCTTTCTTCATTTTAGTGCTTTCGCTAATGCTTTTGTGCCCAAAGCAGTGGTGTGCTCTTGTTGAAGCGTACTGAAAGATCGCCCTACCCATTCCTTTACCTATCGCCGGACCTGTTCCCTACCCTGTCCTCTGCACGTGCTCGCGTCCAGCAAGGGGTGAGTTCTGTTTTCCTACCTCCCTCTCATTCGTTTTTCACCGTTTCTTTCCTAAAAAGTAGTTCCAGAGCTGATGAAAGGCAGGAACAAGCGCCTAGTCCCATATCCCAAAACCCCAAACCAGGAGGCATGGCTGCGATATAGAGAAAGTTCAACCAAAGAGAGGCAGAGACGTGCACAGCAGATCGGAGTCGTCATAGGGAGCGTAACCACGCCTCTTGCAGCCCTTCGATATGGACGGTATGAGTAGTATGTCGAAGAGTTGTGTTTTCCAGTTATATGACACTGCAAGTTCCATGGTAGTTGGCAGTCTACATGCTGTTAAGCAACCAATACAATCAAAATGAAATTAAAAAAACCCTATTGTAGACATGGGTAAGAAACTGCAGTGTGGTATCAGAGATATGAGCTGTTTTCATGATGCTCCATGTTCGACTGTCCATGAACCTTGGCATAGTGTGTGTGCTTGATGTCTTCAATGATGTCTTGAAGCCACAACAAAGGTCATGTAATATAAGAGGATTCCTAAGCTCATTGTCCTGTGTCTTCTTTGTGATTGATAAAATGAAACTCGTCCAGTCGTTTATTGCATAGACGACGTTTCGGGCTTCAAGCCCTTTTTAGGTCCACAATCATCACATTCGGCCTACACCAACATCATCTAACTTTACAAATACAGGCGAGGAATTCAAAGGGGAAACAATCAACAAATAACTGACCGGATTCCTACGGGACGGAGGGTCGGTCGGGGCGGGTGGGAGATCCGGGAGTATGCTGCAAGATGGTCTCTGATGATGTGACAAACAGTAATACGCAACAATGACTCACCGTCCCAGCTGTCCTTTCCTTTAGAAATGGCACAGTTAGATTGGTGAAGCAGTGGTAAGATGGCATTAGTTGATACACTGCTATTTGAATGTGTATTAACAATGTGAAACTCCAAAAGTTTATTCCAAAAAACTCAAAAGACAGCAAAAGTCTCAAAAGTTTTTTAAAATATATCTTATCTGCTATATTTCGGTGCGTAGCACCTTCTTCAGGCCGAATATCCTGGCAAATTCATATTTGCCAGGATATCTCGGCCTGAAGAAGGTGCTACGCACCGAAATATAGCCAGATAAGATATATTTTAAAAAACTTTTGAGACTTTTGCTGTCTTTTGAGTTTTTTGGAATAAACTTTTGGAGTTTCACATTGTTAATACACATAGATCGGAAGAG